CTCAGAGAAGTTTTTTGGATACCCCCCTGGGGGCGGCTCGCCCGGGGGGGGGGGGAAGGCGAGATTTGCAGGTCGAGTCGAGAGTCCAGCTTTTCGAGCGTTTACGTCCATTCTCGGCGGTTTGCCAGCCTCGCGGTGCGTTCCAGCGGATGCGCCTCGCCTGGAGCGTTCCACTGGTGCCCCCCCGAAAACCACCAGGCGCCCGAGGGGGGGCGGGCCTTCTCCGAAGGCGGCGGGGCTTCTCAGAAGCACTCGCGCCTCCCGAGGAGTGGTCTGCGTCTTCGGGGGCGGCCGAGGACCCTGCTCGGGAGACCCGAGGCCCTCCCGAGGCTTCGGAGAAGGCTTGCCCCCGCTCATTTCCCCCCTGGTCTCGCCGCTGAGAGAGGCGTGTTGGAAGCACGCAGGTCAGGGGGGGGAAAAACATAGACACAATTCACCGTCGATTTCCCCGACAATGTGTGAAGATATGGGAAGTGGGGGGGAAGACGGAAATACATGAAACATGGGACGAGATGGGGAATCCTGTCATTTGCGAGTGTTTTATGTCTATGTCCCAGGGCTCCTTCAGCAGGGGCGGCCCGCGATTCTTCTCCCAGTGCTCAGAGCAACAAGTTTGGCTGTCCTCGGGGCGCCCGGCGCCACGTCTGGCTTCGCCGTCCCGATGCCCTCTGGGAAACGTCCCGGAAGTAGCGGTATGTCCTCTTCTCTTGTTCCCCGAGGTGCCGTTGGTCAAGCTGTTCATTGAGCGCTTCTCGCCGTCCACGATAGAGGGTTTGCCCATCGACGTGCAGCTGTTACTTCTCCAGGTGGTGTTCCTGCTCTTAGAGGCGCGCGCGCGCGCTCCCGCGTGGCCGGGGTCTGGCCATCGCTTGGCTGTCGGCGTGTGCTTCTTCAGGAGTTTTAGCGTTCTCTTGGATTGACGCCGTCCCTCCGTGTCATGAGCGGACTTTGGGACCCAGAGTGGGTGCCAGGGCAGTGTTCGGGACAGCGCGCTGTGCCTTAAAATAGATGGTGTGCTGATATGAAGCAACGAAGCGTGTGAGTGGTGCGCCGAATCGGATGCTGCGGCCGCCTGTGGAGCTCCACATGGGGCCCCTAAGCGTGTGAGGGTGTGACGGAATGGGTGCAGGGCCGCCAGGCGGACCCGGCCTCTGGGGCCTCCGGTGGAGCTCCTGGCAGGGCCACGCATTGGGGTGGCCTGGATCGGGTGCGGGGCCGCCGCGCGGACCTTGCCGCTGGGCTGGTGCCTTCGGTGAAGCTCCCTTGGGGGTACGAAGCGTGTGAGGGGTGTGTCTCGAAATGGGGCGCGGGGGCGGGAGGAGGAGGAGGAGGAGGAGGAGGAGGAGGAGGAGGAGGAGGAGGACGAGGAGGACGAGGAGGACGAGGATAGGAGGAGGAACGCGGGGCGCTATCCCTTCAAAACGAGGGCCCAACGCCACAGGATGGTTGGGAAATGCATGATTGTTGCCGTCTCGGGTCGCGACCCCCCCACCTTCCAGGTCCAGGCGAGGGGGTAGGTGGAGGGGTCTAGCTACCCCAAGCCGCACAGTGCTGCTCACTTCCACACTCCCTCCCGCACAGAAGTCGCTCAGGCAGGGGTCGCCATCCACACCCTTCAGGAGCCAATGCAGACGCCAGCCATGTGCTCGATGCCCGTAAGGTGCTCCGCATGTGCCAGGTGCGCCACGCGCACCAGATCCGCCATATTGGGCAATGTGATGACTGCCCCACCACCCTTGTCAAAGACACATGCATTGTGACAGCAGGCTTGCGAGCATTATGTAGTGTGTGTAGGCGTGAACCCGCAATCACTTTGCACTTGTTTTTTACAGGTATAGTAGGCATGCGCACAGCACACAAAATGCCGCCCCCGCCCGCCGTCCCTGGTAAAGGGACCTTTGTGTATTGTTGGTTGGGGAGGGATGGCGGGCTTGCGCGCAGCACGCAATATGCGGCCCCCCCCCGCCGTCCCTGTCAAAGTTTTGCCAGGGGTGGCTTGGGGGGCCGGCATTGCGCATAAGAGACAATATGCCCAAACCCAGCGCGACGTGATCGCGGGGCGTCCGCGCATGATCCAGATGTTCATGCAAAGTGCACTTTGCATTGTTTTTTGAATGGGATAGCGGGGTGGGGTCGGCATGGTCCCGGGCTTGTCGTCGGTCCAGCGGGGGGAGGTGGTGTATATTGACAAGGTCCTGTGGTAGTCCCTTCCCGGAGGGGAACTCCCTAAAACATTCACGCTCAGAGGGTTGGTGGGATTCACAGCCGCCCTCCATTGGATTGCTCGTGGGCCGTAGCGGGGAGTGGCGATGTACACAACACCTTGGCGGGCCCGCGATTCTGCACTGCACGCCTGCACCCTCCCTGAAGGCAAAGGGGAAGCTCGTCGGCGGGTGTCTGTGCACATAGTGTGGCGATTCACGTGGCACGGACCACGGCGACAACATGCCAGGGCCCCTTGTCCGCCAGGATCCCCGTATGCCGATGACGGCCCCGAGGCTTACGTAGGGGAACGAAGAATGAGCTAAACATACAAAGTCGGAGGTCCTGGCGGATTTCTTGGATCCGCGCTGGACCCCCCTCCCTGGCGCGCGGAGCGCGCCAGCTGCGGCGCGGGAGGCGCCGCCAGGGGGCCCCAGCGCGGATCCGAGAAATCTGCGCGGACCTCAGTTTTACGTTATTTTTCGCTCTTTAATCACATGGCTTGTCCTGACAGGAGATACCTGGGCCCGTCGGACCCGCCAGCACCGCCGGCCAGCAGGAGGAGGCGACGGAGGAGGAGAAGGAGGAGGAGGAGGAGGAGGAGGAGGAGGAGGCGGAGGAGGAGGCGGAGGAGACGGAGGAGGAGGAGGAGGAGGAGGAGGAGGAGGAGGAGGAGGAGGCGGAGGAGGAGGAGGAGGAGGAGGAGGAGGAGGCGGAGGGAGGGAGGGAGGGAGGGGGAGGAGGGAGGGAGGGAGGAGGGAGGAGGGAGGAGGGAAGAGGGGAGGAGGGAGGAGGGAGGAGGAGGAGGGGAGGGAGGGACGGAGGGGGAGGAGGAGGAGGAGGAGGATAATCAGGGACGAGGGAGGAGGGACGAGGAGGAAGGAGGAGGAGGAAAAGGAGGAGGAGGAACAGGAGGAGGAGCAGGAGGAAGAGGAGGAGGAAAAGGAGGAGGAGATGGCGGGAGCAGGAGGTGGAGGAGGAGGAGGAGGAGGAGGAGGAGGAGGAGGAGGAGGAGGAGGAGGAGGAGGAGGACCACGCAGTTGACCGTTGGTCAGTCTAAAAAGAGAGGTAGCCTGCCCTTGGATTAAGGGAGGCAGACAGGTAGGGAAGCTAGACTTCCCCTCTTGTGAATTTAGCAAGATAGGCCGACCCAGACGACGTGGCCTTCTTGCATTCTTTGAAGAGATTCTGACCCGCTCTTATGGCGTGGGAGCCGCAGGTCAGGCATATGTAGGTACCCTTGGCTGACATGACCATATCATGAGACGGGTCAACATACCTGGCACCAATGTACACATTGTGGAGAGACTTCGCTCCCTCAAATCCCGAACGGGGTTTCGCAGAAACACACGGGGAGGCAAGAAACTCCTGGGACGGAATATTTCCGTGCGAGTTGACAGAAATGACCGAACAACACGAATTGCAAAAGAGCCTCGAGTCGGGACCCTCTCCTACAGGAATCATATTATGCGCCGACTCCCTAAGCTGTTTGGCTAACTTGGGGCGAGGGTTGAAGGCTCGAGGAGGAGGAGGAGGGACGGCTGGCTTCGGCTTGGCTTTGGCCTTCTTACGAGCTCTAGGGGCCTGGGGATTGTCTCCAGAGGCCTCCGAAAATCTCGAGAGGAAAACTTCACAAGCCCGAATTCTCACAGCACGCGTCAAGGCCTCAGAAATCTGGACCGCCTCCACCTCCCCCGCCTGCAACTGTATGTTCTTGGCCGTGTTCTCAGCCAACTCATCGGCTGCCTTGTTGCCAACCCACGCAAAGACGAGCTCCTTTTTCTCTGCTGCCTGCTCTGGAGTCATGTGCGACTCGATCTTGATGATGGTGGTCGGCTTCTCTTGAAGAAGCCGCTGAATTCGACGCCACTCGTTCCTAAATCCAGTAGGGAAGAAATCCAAGAGGACCTTGCTGACGTTTTTCTGGACATACGACGAGTCCGTGACGAAGACGAGTGGTCGGCCCACAGGGGCCTCCTCCAGGAACCTCAAGAGCGCTATCATCTCGCCATGATTGATGGTCTGGGGTCCCCAAGTGGCTCCCGAGGACACCCTTGACAAAGCCAGGGATGGAGCTGGGTTCGCTAGGTCGAATTCCTCGAAGACGACATAAGCCCAAGACACTCTCCTGAATCTGGCCTGGTCCGAATATTTACCCCCTGAGGCATCACCTGCGCCGACGATCAGGTCTGTGCCGTCGGGGAAGAAGCCGTGGCTGTGCACAAAAATGTCCGCCTCGTCGGGCGGCTGCGAAACTTGTGTCCACGACGAAGGAGTGAGGCCTCGTAGCCACACTGACGGCTGTGAATCCACCTGGGTGCGAGCACGGTGCACAAAAGCCTCGATGCTGGTGGTCGAGGGCAAGGCGTCGTTCGCGGAACATTCCCAAATTCGGTGGAAGGTAGACTCTGGTCGTCCACCATCACAGCGATCACAAAGAACAGAAAAGTCAGGCGGGTTGATGATGCTTTGAATTCTCTCCCTAGCCCACTGACCACCACAGCAGACGTTGACTAAAGCTCCTGCCCACTTAAGCTGGTCTTTATCTCTAGCCCGTCGTAGCTGCTGTCGTACATCAGTTAGGTCTACTCCGTTAGCAACATCAGCGCTCTCATAATGTTTTGCTGCTCGCTTCCAAAGAACCCGACGAACTGAATCGGCTAGGTCTTGGCGGATATCATCTAGATCTAGTGGACCAGCTTCAAGAACCTCTGGAGTAGCCTGATAGACGTTCCCAAGATCAGAAACCCAACGCCAAGGTCCAATGGGGTCCCAGTTGATGTCCAGAAGGGTATTTACTACAGCTCTAGTGGGGCCTGTGATTCTGCGCCATCGATGCTTAGGAATCTCTCTAGCCTTAGCCACGTGCTGCGACCAATCTCGTGCTGCAAAGGCTCGCGCTTCAGCTCCTGACGCAAGAATGGCCATCCAGCCGTCGAGCATCTTAAATACCTGCGAGATTGCTGGATCTTGATCTCCAAGCTCCAGCTGTAAAAGAGTGTCGAGGCACCTGCCTCGGACCGACAGAGTGAAAGTGCCTCCTATAGCTCTGCGCCAAGCCTGCACTGCCGAAGGGCCCATACCGTACACAGCTGCATCATACTGAACTTTTGCATAACATCCTCGATGTATCACACGCCGTGCTGCTGCTCTGCCTGTTCCGCTTGCTCCAATAAGCTTCCGAGCTCGGCCTGCTTGCTTCCAAGTTGCTTTGCGACGTGCTGCTGCTTTAGGCCGTGCTCGCATGTTCGTGCCTCTGTCAGTGCCTAAATCGACTGCTTTCTGTGCTACAGTGATCTTAATGTTGTGCTTTGCCAACTTGCGCGCAATGTCCTTTGCTAATTCAGGGTCCCCCGCGATGATCTTGCTCTTGCTAGCGATACTCAAGTGCGCCTTGTTGCAGAGCCTGCCCAAGAGAACCCCAGCCTTGGTGAGCGCCTGGGAGAGGAACCTGACGGACCCATACGCATACTGAGTGATATCATCAACCCAAGACGACGTGCTGACCGACGGTGAGTATTTGTTGTGCACAGCTTCAAGGATACTGTAGAGATAAAATCTTCCAAAATCGACCCCTCTACGAGCTCCTGCGATGATGGACTTGTTGGCCTGGACTGGCGGTGAAAAGCACCCTGCTTCACGAAAAACTCTAACTATGAGATGAGCCAGCCCTTCCATCAACAAAATCAAAGGCGGAAAATCCAGGGCCAAGCCCTGCTCGAACAGGCGCTCGTACTCTAACGAGTCGTAGAAATTGTCGATGTCCCACAGAAGACTGGCCGAGACGGTGTGCTTGGGCCCCATGCGGATGGCTTCGTCAGAAAGGGCTCGTAGAAGACCGACACGCAAGCAGGAAGAGCCTCTGATCGCATTGTCCCACTTGCCAGCCATCTGCTCGACCCATTCAGAAGGAAAAATCTGTCTGGCTGAACTCCACAAGCGTATCAAATCTGGGATAAGACCAATTGAGCGATCAGTGTCAGCGCCTTTCCTCAAAAGAGCAACAATAGCTGTCTGAATCTGCCAAGGCCAGCCTCCTCGACGTTCGCATTCATTCAAAAACCACGTCAAGTGAGCAATGCCAGCTGGAGGTAAATACTTGAGGGTACCGCCCAGTTGCTCGATGCCTGCGGCCTTGCTGGAGTTGATCTGCTTGACTGTGATGGCGATCTGCTCAGGCTCCAGAGCTGGCCAGGGTTGTGCTGCTGCCTTAGCGTGAGCCCGTCGAAGGAGTTGGAACAACCTTTGCACTGGCAAAATTTTGGAAGCCCACTTGCGTTGCCAAAGCTGACTCTTCTGGACCAAAATATCCTTGAGGCTCGTGGAACTTCCTTTCAAGTCGCGGTACTCTGTCTCGACGCGCGTCTTGGGCTTGACGTACCGATGTAACTTCCCACAGCCTTGAGCAAAAGAATCCCGAATCCACGATTGAAAAGCGCTGTAACTCTCCTTGGCCGCCTTACGCTCCAGGGCTGCTGCGATCTTATCCGCTGATGCTCCCATCGTAATGAGAGCCTCTCTCGGTAGATTGTGAATGTTAAGAAGTGTACTGGCCCAGTCCTGCCGATCTCTGCCTATTACCTGGCCGAAACCTGAAAGTGGCATGTCAGCAGGAGCCTGTGCCAACCTGTGCACCAAGAAGTCTTTTCTCGATGCTGTCCTGACTTGTTTTTTCGAGACTGGGCTGAGCAAATCGGGGGGAGGAGGGGGGGAGTCACCACCTGCTGCAGTAGAGAACTCCTCGACGTGCAGCTGGGTCCCACTAGAGACTCGAATAAGCTCCTGAATCCAACCAGAAACTTGCAGCCACCACTTGATTGACGTATCTGAATGCGCTCTTGTTGGCGCAGGTGCTGATATCGGCAGAGTTTTGAATTCCCTCGCAACTCCACGACCTTTGTAATGCCAAGCTCGATCTGGTGGTACCTCAAGTACACGACACAGAACATTCTCAAAAATGGACGTAAATCTTCCGTAGTCTGATCCCAGCTCGATAGCAGTCTCGGGATCATACTTATACGAGAGGCTGTCTTGCATCCAATCTGGCGGTAAGGTCCACTCACAGTGCTGGAGAGTGTTGTTGTCAATGGTGGCCCAAAGCTCATCCAGATCTTCAACTCTCCACTCTAAATACTTGGCTGGGTGGCAGTCCTGAACTACAGGCTTGACCTCAGAAATCTTGTGGTCATAAATATGCGACTGCCACATCTGCTGAAGCGCCTCGGAGTCGAAGCCGAAAAAATCTCGATGTAGAAACTTGCGAGCCTCCTCTGGGTATTTCGTGCACGAGCTGGCCTGCTGAGGTTGCGCCAAAAACTCCTCGTCTTCAGACTCGGGTTCAGGAAGTTCTTGCTCGAGATCCTCCGAGTGTTCCAGAGCACGTTGTTGCCGTCGTCGCTCCAACTCCAATTTCTTTCTCGACCGTTTGCTGTTGGGGTCACCCTTTAGCTTGGTGGGTAGCGGTGGCAGGAACATCTTCGGTAGGTCCAAGACTCGACGTGCAGACTGCTGTGCAGAAACATTCAACTCCAAAATCATGCCGTAGTGGTCACCACCCTCAGCATCCAACTGGATCGCATCATGAAAAAGTGTAGAGAAGTCCTGAGAAGCCACAGCATAGTCGATGATTCTCTGCCCCTTGCCCCTCGTGGACGTGTGGGTGATGCCAGGTGGGTGATAAAAATGCCCATTCCACTTACGGATCCATGAGGCCATCTCCAGGGGGGTAGCGTTGAAGTCCCCCATGATGATCCAAGGCCCCGCATGATTGTCCAACAGCGCCGAAATAGTGAGAAGCTTTGAGACATTGATGGGTGCTTCCAACCCCACTGAGACAGTCAAATAAGCACCAATCACTAGCAACGGGACTCTGGCGATCTTCCACTCGACCGCCACCACATCTTTGAAGGACAAGGGCCCCGATAACTTCTGCTTGCTGTTGGCGTCAACTAAACCGATCGCGTTGTCAGGGTCGTCCGACAAGTGGCGATAAGAGGACCAACAATGATGCTGACGGGTACCCAGAACGATGCCACCTGCCTTCTTCACGTAGGTCGTGGGGTATGCTGGAGAAACAATACCTTGCCATTTGTGCTGCTTCAGCGTGCTCAAAATATCCTGAGTGTCGCAAGCCAGCACATGCGTCTCGGGCATGATGATGATATCAACATCACTCTCTGCAAAAAGCTTGGTGGCTTTGTGCCCCCACATAGAAAGATTGTGCAATAGCAATCGTCGAACTGCTGGTGCCGCATTCTGAGATTGCCTCGGCCTCGGGTACAGACGAATCGTGCTACCCGCACTTTTGTGGAGCCACGGCAGCGTCAGCGTAGGTCGCCGACGAGGGCGGGTTGCCCCTGGCTTCTGCCAGCACCCGCTGCACTCGCTCCTGGGACGCCTTAGCCTTCGGGGGCACCTCGCTTGCCGCCGCCTCCTGGGGCTGCGAGGGAGGCGCTGCTGCAGCAGCGGCGGGCGTGGCTGCTGCCGAGGCCGCGGCGCGCTGCCCAGCAGAGGGTGCTGCCTGGGCATCGCCTGCGGCAGGGGCAGCAGGCTGGTCTCCACCTGCAGGCTGCTCCTCACCACGATCTTTACCTTCAGCAGCTGCCTCGCCTTGAGCTCCCACGCGTCGACGCTTGGAGGCCATGCGAGCCTTGAACTCCTTGAACTGTTGTCTGCGAGCACCCAGTTGAGCAGCTGCTGGGCCAATCGCTGCACTGATCGCCTGCTTGATCTCCTGGGCCAACGAAATCTTGTGCTTCTGCCAAGCCTCGATGTCTTCCTTGGCCAAGTCCAGATCGGCGAAGTCGAAGGCCTCGCCGTCCTCGAACTCGAACAGTTGCCCAAGCTCGTCGCCCTCGTCGAGAAAGCTGGACAGGTTGAGCTTGGGCTTGGGATCGGCGGCAGCGGCGGCACGTGCGGCACCCTCTCGACTCTTGAGGCGCTGGAGGTCTTGCTCCAACTGCTGCTCATGGGCCAGCCTGGCGTCGGCTGCATCTTGCGCAGCTTGCTCCACAGCCGCCCGAGCCCGTGCCAGCCAGTCGGTGCATTCCTGCTCGTGAGCGATCGCCTTGGCAAGAGCTTCATCGGCCTTGCGAGCAGCCGCTGCCAGCCGCTGTGCCTCTCTCTCACGCTCGAGGCTGGGCTTGACTGGGGCGGCGGCAGCTGGCGGCGGAACGTCCTCAAACTCCTTCTTGAGCGCCGCCAAGCGCTCGCCATGCTGCGGGGCGCGGCGCAGCAAAGCCTCGAACAGCTGGTCGGTCGAGGGAGCGAACGGGTTGGCACTGCCGTCGCCGAGGGTGGCCGCCGTGGCTGCCGCCCCTGGAGGAGTCCACTGCCCTGGGGGCGGCCGCACGAAGGGGCTTGGAGGGTGTCCTGGCTGTGCTGCGCCAGGTAGTGCGGGCGGTCCACGGTTCCACGACCCTGCATCACGAGGTGGTGGTTGGCCCCCGACAGGACGTAGAAGACCTTCGCACTGCCAGCATGTCGTGTGCCGCTTCCAATTCCACTTGTAGCGGCAACCGTCATGAGGACAAGACACGTAGCCACGCACCGCCACATGCTTCCCCATGCCGTCAGGCGGGGCGAGAGGAAGCTCACCTGCGGGCTGCAGGAGGCACACGGAGAGTTGAACAAAGCTGTCGGGCTCAAAGGCCCTGGCACTAGCCGCGGACTAGCGGTATCCACTTGTTCCCCTGTGGAACAAAGCA